TTCTCTCAAAACCTAATGAGAGAGAGGGGGAATGGGGGGGAGAGAGAGAGAGAAAGAGAGAGAGAGAATGGGGGAGAGAGAGAAATGTAGGAAGGGTACTGGTGTTAGGAAGAAGAGATTCACAGAGAAGAGGGATGAGTAAGAGAGAGTAATGGGGTGAAGTAGAATCAAAGTAGATTGTGTACATTTATGAAAACATCAATAAATTAAATTAAAAATAAATGTTAAGGGGCTAGAGAGAGAGCTCAGTGGTTCAGAGTGTTTGCTGCTCTTACAGAGAACCAGAGTTCAATCCCCAGTACCACTTGGATGCCTCACAGTTGCCTGTACCTACAGCTCTAAGGGATCCCATGCCTCTCCTTGGGCACCCTCACACAGGTGGGCATACACACACAGGCACATCCACTCAAACTCACACACACACACACACACACACACACACACACACACATATACACATAATAAATAATAAAATTCAAAAAATTATTTTAAAAGATTGACATCTGTCTGGTAGGATCATGAGTCACAAAAAGAATTATTGCAAATGCAGACGCATGGGCACCAAAGATACTTAGCACAATGTTTTTCAAAATTGCAACAACAACAAAAATACTAAAAATAACCTAATTCTAGTGACCGGGACATGATGGTATAAATAACAATCCATAAAATCAATGGGGAATGGTGGAGACTACGAAAAAAACACCTGCAAAGAATGTCAAGTCAGAGAATACTGAGGAAGAAAAAGGGAAATAAGATTACAGATTTTATCTTAGTGAAGAAAAACATGAACGTGCAGAAAACAGAGCAGGAAGAAATACACAGATCTCTGCCTTTGTGGCGGCCACCTTTGAGCCTCTTCCATTTTATGCTTTTCTTCATTTCCTCGCTTTTCTAGGATAAATTAATTTCACATTTGGAAATAAAACTTTTAGCAAAGATTAAAAAGGCAATTTGCTATAGTGGGATCCAGAAACCTACAGTAACATTTTCCCTTCTTCTATGCTATTAAGTAATTGTTTTCTCCTCCACTGCATTTCAAAGAGGGAAGGCATTGCCATGTTATTAAGCAATCAGCCAGTAGGGTTCATCCAAGAGCAATAAACTGACCTCTCAAGAGAAAATTAGAGAGGCTCAACCTGGAAAACCCCAAGGAGTGATCTAACACATATCCCTCAAGAATCGGTGCCATATACACTACACTTTCTGGTGTGAGCACTTTCCTTTCAATTTTATTTTAAATGTTTCAAGTGATTGCAATTTCACTGCTACATTTTAGACCAGCCAACAAGCTATTCATCATTTTCCCTGAGCAAAATATAACACTACCAACAAACTTCAGAGATGCTCATATAGGTGAACCTGCTACCTCAAGTGTCTTAGACCTAGTTAAACCTCTTGCCCCTTCACTTAGGACCTTACACAAGACTTCTTGCCTATTTCACCCTAAGCTTTGCGAAAAGGACAGCTCACCACCTACCTCACAAAAGATGTACAAATTGGAGCTGGAGCGCTGGCTCAGCTGTTAAGAATACTTGCTGCTCTTGCAGAGGACTGGAGTTCAGTTTCACATCAGGTGACTCATAACTACCTACAGCTCCAGCCCCAGGGGATCCCATACCCTCTTCTCTCTTTGGCACTCATACACAGCTGGGGACACACACACACACACACACACACACACACACAAAGATTAAAAAACTTTTTTAAGTTGTAGGAATTAAATGAGATGAGACATGGAGGGAATGCATTGAATACATACAGGAGTCACTCGTTAAATGTATGATGAGTGTGGAGAACTGAACAGTTGTTTGGCTGGCAGAGGAAATCTACATGGAAGCTAAAATACCTTATTTTGTATTTCCCTAGCTGATACTCATGGGTTAGTGTGGATGGTACAGTTCATAACTTGAGAAGCAAAATTCCATTTGATATCCATACCTTGAGTTTAGTCACATCAACTAAATTAACCAGCCTCAAAATACAGAGTACTCACTGAGCCTTTCTACTGTTGATACAAGCCAAAATTAGAACAGTGGTTTTAGGAAAGGGAGAAAGAAGACAGAGTGAAGAGTCACATTTGAGATGGAATCAATAGAGTTTGATGAATAGCTCCTGGAGAGGCTGAAGGAAAGAGAAGTGTCCCCAAGCACCTGACTTGGATGATTAAATGTTGGCTTATTCACTCAATGGATTATCTACTGAGCACTTACTACAGTCCAGGTGCTGTTCTGGGTGCAAGAACGATCACAATAAACCAAAGAGGAAAAAAAAAACACTCTTCTGTGGAGCTTCCTTTCTGATAGAGGAGAAAGGCATAATAAATAGAGAGATAAATGAAGAAAATGTCTGATCGTGATAACTTTGACAAAGGCAATAAGCAAGTTGATGAGGTAGAGAATAGTAAGATGGAGTCTACTTTGGATAGGATTTGTCTCTCTGAAGAGGGCATCCATGCAGGTCCTGAACAAGAAGGAGCCCAACAAGTGGGGGGAACACTCCAAGAGGAAAGAACAGCAGGTATAGACACCGTGGGGTAGGGAAAGAGTTAGCTATATTTGATACAAGGGAACCTGCTACCGCAAGTGTCTTAGACCTAGTTAAACTTCTTGCCCTTTCACTTAGGACCCTATACGATACAGAGGAAAAGCCAGTGTATCTGATAAAGAGGAAAGAATTGGCAGAGGAGGAGAAATGGGTAGAGCCAGTTAGTCAAGGATGAGCCTTGAGAAGCAGGTCCTGAGGGAAGAAAAACAGCTCATCTTGAGAGGTAGAGCTTAAGGTACTTGAGAAGAATCCTCAGGCTAAAGATGCAGGACTGCAACCTAAGAACCAGAGGTGGCTTGGGGATTAGAGAAACTTTCCAGTTGTACCTGATTTGCCAGGAAGTGTTTTAGAAACACAGACTTATCAGTTGCCAAAAATATAGATTTCTAGACTCCCAAGTTCCCCAAGACCTAGAAAACATTTTTTGATGCTCTCTGGTCCATTCATTCAACAAATGTTTCTTGAATTCCCACTATGTTTTAGAATAAATATCTAAGTGGTGTGGATAAGAGCTTACAATGCAGAGGAAGAACACACAGTGATTAAATATTGTGACCCGTGCACAAAAATACCCACGCTAATAAAACAGAAACAATTGTTGGACCTACTCTTGATAAATCCAAAGACCTGTCTTTGAGGAAGTGACTTTGAACTGACAGATGAGGAATAAGGAGAAGCCATGTGGCAAGCTAGGAGAAGACCAGAATAGCCACTGCAAAACCTGAATAGAAAGTTGGGTGTGGTCTTACCTGTAATCCCAGCACTTAGGGGCCTGAGGTAGAAGGATATTTCACTTATTTTACTTTTAATTTTATGCCTACAACTCTATTGCCTGCATGTATGTAAGGTCACCCATGTCGTGCAATGCCCGCAGAGGTCAGAAGAGGGTGTCAGATCCCCTGAAACTGGAGTTACAGACGGTTGTTAGCTGCCATGTGGGTGCTGGGAACCAAACCCCAGTCCTCTGCAGGAGCAGCCAGAGCTCTTAACCACTGAGCCATCTCTCCAGCCCCTCAGAAGGATCATTTTAGGAGAAAGGCCAGTCTAGGCTACACAGTGAAATCCTGTCTCAAAAACAAAATGTTAACAAACCAGCAAAAGCTGAATCCAATCTTTTGGTTTATTCAAACTGGATTAACCAACCAAAATAGGAAAGATGGTGGAAGAAATACTACTTCATCACTGAGTATTCCTCCAGCAAGCCATACTGAGTACACACCCTGTACCAGGCACTACTCCTTGTACACACACAAACATGAGTAAGACGGTCCCTTCTCTTAGAATTTGCAGTCAGGAGACAGGTAGCCAAATAGGTACAACCCCCCATGAGATAAGCAACAGCATCCCAGACAATGACATTTGTATTCTGAGAAAGCCAAAATGATTAATGCCTTTGAATACAGTGATGTCATTGCTTTTGAGACTGTGCATTACAGTTACTATCATTTTTATGGTCCTGAGTAGTTCAGAATATCTTGGTTTCAGGTAAACTATATACAACAATGAATGTTGTATCTGAGATACTGTATAATCAATTATACTCTACAAAACCAGCACCCTAATAATTGCTAACATTTATTGAGCATGTAGATTCACCTAGTTTAATGTGCAATCTCCTGCAATCCTTGCAATATCCAGGTGAGGCATGGACCATTATTTCCCTTTCTCAGATAATGAAATTGGGCAAGGTAAATGGGCTTGCCTGAAGACATTCATCTTTTCTATGATCATCTCCCAACTGTCTGGGCTGAGACAGTTTTGATATCCTATGAATGGTTTAATGCTAATGCAATTGCTTTCTTGGCCCCAGTTCCCAAAGTGAATCCTTCTCTCTTCTCCCAATTACCCATCCCAGGTTGTCTACACCAGCCAGATTTATCTGGGTATCTCCCCATGGGTCTTGTAAGTGGAAAAGTGAAGAGAAGACCTTGTTTTTACTTTGGGGTGGTGGAGGGTAGAAAGTTCTAGGACAAGTGCCTACACCAGTCTCCTGTGCAGAGAAGCAGTTGGATGTTGGGGGATTGAGCTTGATCCTTCTAATATATTCAAATTCAGTGGCCTGGTCTACATAGTGAGTTCCAGGACAGCTGGGGCTACAGGGAGATCCTGCCTCAAAAAAGACAAAAAAAAAAAAAAAAAAGAGCTGGAAAAAAAAAAAAAAAAAAAAAAAAAAAAAAAAAAAAGAGCTGAACATGGGCATCCTGCTGGCGGGCCAGTTTGGAAAGGAAAAGGGCATTGCTTTTCGCTTCCCTGGCCCTTCTCCTCTTGCCAACTCTGTGTGAGTCCCTGCATCCACAGGCTGGTTCTCTGGGTGTGTCAGGAACCAGTCTCCCGTGCATTTCCTCTGTTTCTCGGGGTGACTGGCTCCCTCTCTTCTTCCCCCTCCCCCATTCCCTTCCTCCCGCCCTCCCTCTTTGTGAGGAGGCCCTTGGCCGGAGTCCCTGAGCCAGGCTGGGTGCAGGCAGAGGACGCTGGAGGAGTGAAGTCACATCTCCCTTAAGCTCTGAGCTGCAAGCTTTTCAGAACCTCTGCTCGCCATGAGCCGACAACCACAGCCCCAGACCGCGCGCACCGTGCGCTCCTCCTCCCTCCCAGTGTCACCGACTTCCCCCACTTCCCAGTACACGTCCCGTTCGGACTCCAAGGGGGCTTTGGACAGCGGCAGTCCCGAAGCGAATACCGAAGATGACAAGACCGAGGAAGACATGCCCATGCCCAAGAACTACCTGTGGCTCACCATCGTCTCATGTTTTTGCCCCGCGTACCCGATCAACATAGTAGCTTTGGTCTTCTCCATCATGGTGAGTGGGGTTGGGACCAGAAGCATCAGAAAGGAAGGACCCCGGCTGGCCTGCGGCATCGAGCCGCTCCAGCTCGCTCTCTCCTGGCTCCCTCTCGTAGCCCCTAGCGCTGGGCTTTGGGGTCCGCACCTCCTCCTTACCTTTCTCCAGCTCTCCAAGCTCATCCCCACCACCACAGCCATCAGCACTGCATGCCTTGCAGAACTCAAGAGCACTAACCAAGTCTACCCCAGGCTAACTTTGCACTGCTTTTCAGGATGCGCTCCCTCTCAGAGATCTTAGACTTTGTGACTTCTCCCTGCTTCCTCCCGCGTTGCTAGGCGCTCACCAGGGTTTTCGCCACCCGATTTCCTAGAACCTCAACGCTCTTCCCTTGCTCCCCAGGCCACAGGGCAACCCACGCACTGAGCATACAGGCTCTGAGTCTGGCTCAGCATCGCCATGCTGGGTGCTCCGGCTCTCCAGCGCCCAGGGCTGCCTCTATGTTGCCATGTTCTTGCCCTTTGCTGCACCCTGGGCACCTCCTCCATCACTCTAGGAGGGTCCCCAAGCGATTCCCTACACCTCCTCCCTGACCTTGGCTCCTGCGCCTCAGTGCAGCACGCTCTCTCTAACAGCACACACAGTTCCTTCCCACTTTAGCTTTGCTCTCCCTGCTCTCGCCTCTCTCTGGCACCCTTTTTCCAGAGCCCCTGAGACTATCACACCCTCCATCTTTGCATTACTTTCTGGATCATACCTTGCGCGCCCCTCTCTCGCGAAAAGCGTGCTTGCTTTTTACTCTCAGTAGGTCATAGTTTGTCCCCACTTTGCTGAGGTCAGACCTTATCCCAAACTATTCCTAGGCGCCCCTCCATCACCATCATGCTGTCCTAATCCCAGAGCCTCGGGGAGTGCACTTGGGCACTCCTCTGCGAAGGCCTCCGGAGCTGCACGCTGGGTCTCAGGTCTGCCCTCTTCAGTGCTCCAAAGAAGGTCCTGGCCTTATTGACTGCAGCAGCTGGCCTGGCGGTGGTGGAGGGGTGAAATGCACAGGCACTGTCCCGGGACAACCCAGGAAGTTGTGCTTCCTTCCTCCACCAGCCCACCTTGCCTGCAGCTAGCCAGTGCAACTCCCGACCAAAGACAGGACTGATTCAGCTGGGTGAAGGTTGTGACTGTTGCCATCAAGACCCTCAGGGGTAGAGCCCCATTCCTCCAACACACATTCCATTTTGCCCCTGCGAACTGCTCTTCCCCAAACCTGGCTGGCTGCACCAACATTTAAGCAGCTCAGCTGCAGAAGCTCTGTTGGCTTGGTTCAAATCCTAGTTCCCCCACTTGCTGGCATTATCAATTCAGAGTGCCTAGAACAGTATCCGGCATGGGGTTGTTTTATTATTACTATTTTTTTTCTTTATTCAAATATCACTTCATGAGACCTGCTAAGCGTTTAAAACCAACTCCCCTTCCTTGTTGCTTTTGGTGCAAACAAAAATTACTTGATTACTTTAATTTTTAAATTGTATTAACATGGGAGACAGGGGTGTATGCCATGGGATGACAGCTCTGTAAAGCTGGTACTCATCTTCCACCTTTACATGAGTTCAGGAGATTGAACTCAGGTCTCCAGGCTTGCTTTGCAAGTGCCTTTGCCTGCTGAGCCATCTCACCGGCCCTTATTTTATTAATATCTGTGTCCCTTCATTAGACTATGAGCTCTATGAAGGCAAGGATATTTGTCATGTGTCTGTGGGTGCTGTGGAAGCACTCAGAAGACTATCTGACGTGTGGACAACCTTATTAAATATTACCAATCGAATACATACACAAAGGAAGGTGGTGCTGGAGTCTCATGTCCGCTCAGCTCCTGTTCCTTTTTCCATACTGGAGCCGGGAAGCTGAAGCCATCTCATCAGGTTCCCTAAGACTAACCTGCCAACTTCCCTCCTTCCTTCCTCTCCCCTAGTATCCAATCTTGGGTTTGTTTTGGTTTTGGTTTTGGTTTTTCAGAGAGGCTGGAGATGTAGGCAGCCGAATTTTCCCAGCAGCAGCAGACTCTGACTGGCACTAGTGCCCACATTCCATCCTGGTTTATTCATGAAGCAGCCAATTTACCCCTTACTCAGTGCCACTTAGAAAAACGCCTGCAAAGGCATTTCCCCTGTCATTGGTCCAAAATGAGCTACCGCTCCAGCTAGTGGTGACAGGATGGATACTAATGATGTAGCCTGCCTGGAGTGTCCTGGGAGTGGAGGAGGATGAGGTACATGCTTCAGATAGAAGCCTCTTTTCCTAATTCCTTCAGTTCCTAAGCTTTTTTCAATAGTTTCATAACAAGATACTAGTCTATGCCAGAACACAGAAAACTATGGGAAAGCTTCACACATTTTTCAGAGTTTTGGTCTTTCATCCAAAAACTGAGGATGTTGGTGTTGGTTGTTGCTCTGCTTTGGTTTGGGGTTTTTATTGAGAGAGAGAGAGAGAGAGAGAGAGAGAGAGAGAGAGAGAGAGAGAACAATACACATGCCACAGCATGCATGTGGAGATCAAGGACAACTTTGTGGAGTCAGTTCTCTTTCCACATTTACATAGGTTCTGGGTTTGAACTCAGGTCTTCAGCCTTGAGTGGCAACTGCTTTATCCACTGAGCCATTTTGCCAACCCTCATTTGGGGTTTCAGGCTTCTTATTGCTGCTGCCACTGCTGTTTTGAGACAGTTTCAGTATGTAGTCCAGGCTGGCCTTTAACTCACAATCCTCCCACCTCAATCTCCTAAATTGCTGAGATTATAGGTCCACATGACATCTGGCTTATGTACATTGCTTTATATTAAACAATACGGTGGTAAAGTTAAAATAAATTCAGTCAATCCTGTCAAGCCCTCAGCATTGCACTAGGCATTGCAACAATCACACAGAGGGGTAAACTGGAATCTGGAGACATCATATGTAGTACATAAAAACAGAATATGAAACAATTGAAGCCTAAATTCTAAACAGTGCTTCCTACCTCCTTCCTAGTGTGTGCTCTCCAAAGTACTGGGGGTATTTTCCCATTCAAGTAGTATAAATCTGGACTTGATAAGTTTTGTGATAAAGATTCCAAAGAACAAAGAGGGAGAAGAAAGGTATGCAAGAGAAAGGGGACTATCTTAGTCTGTTCTGCATTGTTAATAACACAATACCACCAACTGGCTATGTAATTTATTAAAAAGAGAGAAATTTTATCTGTTCCAAGGTCAAGTGTCCGTATATAGTGATAATCTTGCTGGCAGTTATAAGGAAGGCAACGCAAGACATAATATCATGAGAGTAGGGAGCATTCAAAACACCTGGACAAATTGGTCTTCTAGCAGACCTACTCCCACAATAGTCCATTAACCCATTACTCAATTAATCACATGAATGAATTCATCCACTCATGAGGCTAGAGCCCTGGCCACCTTTTAAAAGTATAACCTCTTGGGGCTGGAGAGATGGCTCAGCAGTTAAGAGTACTGGCTGCTCTCACAGAGGTCCCAGGTTCAGTTCCCAGCACCCACTTGGCAGCTAACAACAGTCTGTAACTCCAGTTCTAGGGGATTGATGCCCTCTTCTGGCCTCTGTGGGCATTGCATGACATATTGCATACATGCAATCAATACACTCATACACATAAAATAAAAATAATAAAAAATGTTTAAAGTATAACCTCTTGATGTAATGAGGATTAAATTTCAACATGAGTTTTGGAAGGGGCACACTATACTCAAATCCTAGCAGTGACCTCCAATCCTGCTACAAATGCACAAGACTTAATGTGTCTTGTGATGTTTTGTTCTGGCTATTTTCCAATCTCACTCATCTGTAATTCATGACGAGTTTGAGTATATTAATGATATGTCTGGGGGATCTCCACTCAGAGTTTCACATTCCCATGGAGACATTTGGGAATGTTGGAGAGCATCTGTGCCTCAGTTATTTGGGGGCACTACTGGCTTTGGTAAAAAGAGCCAAAATACAAATATCCTGCAATACTACATATTGTTCCGCCAATGAAGAATTGGTGCATTCCAAATACCAATAGTACCTTAATTGATAAGCACCCTCTTCTAGTTTGCTTTCTGTTGCTGTGATAAAATATTCTGACCAAAGGCAGCATGGGGGTGTATTTCAGCTTACACTTCCACAATCCTCCCCAAAAACAACATGCACAATCCATCACAGAAGCACCCCATTCCTTGTACCAGTTTCTCTCAAATGGGGTTACTGCTAGCCCAAGCTGCATTTTCATATGAATTTGAATATAGCACCTCTCCACAAAGACCCAGCCCTGAGCCAGGGCACAGAACCTGGTAAGAGAGGCATAGACTGGCTTTCGGGTTTTATTCAACTGTCTTCCTCTCACCCTTAACTACCGCTGTTTAGTCTACCAGAAAGGACCCCATAATTTCTTAGTATAGCCTTCCACCCTGGAGAAAGAATATTTGCTAGTTCAAGTGTTACATGGTAGGTCCTGTTACTTTATTTCCATTGAGTGGTAAATAAGACAGTCAAGATCTCTTCTTTGTGGATCTGGAAGAAGTGAAGTCCTCAGCAAGTTGCAGGACTGTTGGTGAATGTGGGGAGCATTCACCATCTATTGATTTTGCAACTCGAATTTGTTTTCTGACTCAGAACACCGTAACTGAGGCCCCAGTTCTTCATGACATCCCGATGGAATGATTTCTACAATTGAACCAATGGTCCCACTCCAATTATGGATGTCTAATAGCTGGTGACTTTTGGCAGGGCGGCTTGTACACCTTCTTCATCAGAACCTTTTCTCCTTCATACCTTTAGAGCATCTCTAGAGACCCCACTGAGGTTCAAGTCCTTTGCTATTTGTTGCTTATGATTCCTTCTTAATCTTTCTGAGGCTTGTTTTTTCTACCCTGTAAGATGGGGGTTGTGATGGTACTTAGTGTAATTGTGGAGATTCAATGATGAAAGTATAAAATTGTCAACTTACTACTTTGAACACAGGTAGAACATAATAAG